AATAAATATATTTTAAAAATATTCAATAAATATATTTTTAAAATATTCAAACAAATATCTTTATAAGTATTCAAACAAATATATTGAAAATTTTCAAATAAATATATTTTTAAAATGCTCAAATAGATATATTTTTAAAAATATTCAAACAAGTTATTGTTTAAAATATTCAAATAAATATATTTATGAACTATGTTTTAACTGTATTAAATATAAATTTAGAATTTTTAATTAAAGTTTAATTAAAACTGCTAAAGTAAGAACTTCTAGTAATCACATTAGCTTTTGTAATACATTAGAAATTGTATCACATTAGAAATTGTATCACGTGATGAGGCACTGGTTGATTTATTCATGCGGTAGCGTGGTAAAAAAAATACAGTCGTTCGTTATTTTGTTTTTTCTCGGTTTAATCTGTAATCCGATTCCAATGTATCGCCCTGATGTCGTGCTGACACGACCTTGACATTGATCACGTGACGTTCGAGTTCCTGTGGAGAAAGTCAAAGAGGGGGTTTAAAAAAATAATTAATTGAACACACTTTTTAATTGATTAAAGATCAATTGACGTTTGCGCTGAGTTGTCATGAAATGAGGATGGGCGAAGGGAGGGGGGTGGGGCTAGGGACAGTTGGTGATTTTATACTTTAACTATACGTTGATGTATTTCTGAACACAAAGTTCAGTATTTGGTTTTAGATAGTGAAAGTAGGAGGAGGTGGTGGGGCGTGGAGATGGGGGAGGGGGGGGGGGGGTAGGCATGTCACCCTCTCGGTCACGTGAAGAACGGTTTCATTAGGGACCGAAACCTCTGACAGCGTTAAATCAACGACTGGAAACTTAGCTCATCCCAGGCCTGACCTCGTTAACTCGTCAGGGATTAGGTTCCAAATTAGCGCCATTTTACATCCGTCATGAGCAGGGGTGAGGGGGTGGGGGTGGGGGAGGGTGACATGAAAACTGGAGGAGTCAAGTTTAGGGGGACATGGATGGGGGGTAGGCTCTACAATGCTAGACTTTGTGTGCCTCCATTGCTGTTAACATCCTTTTTCCTGTTGGGTTTAAGTTATTCATTGATAGGTTGGCACAAGCAATGTATACACAGACTGTGTTGTAAACTTTTACTAAGACGTGAGCTACTGTTTTATTGGAGATGTAGTAAGCAGTTAAAATTATGTGATTTATATAATTTAATTTTTTCTTTTTCAAAACAATTTAAGCTACATTGTCCTTAAGCTCAGTGATTCTTTAGCTTAATAACTGTTTCTAAAATCAATTGTTGTTAAACCCAGATTTTGTTATTCATTATTACTGATCAGTTACATTGAAATTAAGCTGAGTTGCTGCTGCGATCATTTACTGTTAAGCTCAGTCATTTTTAAAGCTCGGTTATAGTTAAGATCAATTGGTTCAAAATTACTGCATTGCCGCGCATAAGGCAAGTTAGAGAGAAGATTGCTTACAAGTATCAACTTCCCACTTGAAAATCTCGATAGTTCGAATGGGTACCTTGTGGTGTCATCGAAGCTACAGAAATCAATCGATATTTTGTGCTGAGAAATGTGGGGTGGGGGACAATGTTGGGTGTTTAGGATTTGAGTGGGGGATGTTGGAGGACATAGACAGGACACCAGTGCTAGAGGACATAAACAGGACACGAGTAATGGACATAAACAAGACACGAGTGATAGAGGACATACATAGACAGGACACGAATAATGGAGGACATAGATAGGACACGAATAATCGAGAACATAGACAGAACATGAGTGGGCCTACTAGGGGACATAGATAGGACACGGTACTGTAAACAGACAGGACACAAGTACTGGAGGACATAGACAGTATACGAGTGCTTGAGGACACAGAAAGGAAATGGACAGGACAAGAGTAATGTAGAAATAGCCGGGTCACTGGTACTGTAGGACATAGACAGGACACGAAACACGGATACGGACAGGACAGCCACTAGCCTGTAACCTGGAACATCAACCGCCTACGTTACAGTTGTCTGCGATAATCCCAGCGATTAACCAGCGATTAACCAGCGATAAACCAGCTCAGACAAATGTAACCGCTTCAAAATTTAAAACCTCTGAACGGATTAAGTCCACTGTTTAATTAAAGAGTACATCCTCCCTACCCTCCATTTCCCACTATCCACATCCGAGCCGAAACGACTGAAAAAAATTATTCGCCTTATCCGCTTTCCTGATGCCACGCCCACAACGCCACCCCCACACCGCAAACACCACCTCTGTTACACTCAGATCAGACGATCACCCAGGCAATAAATTCAACCAAACGACCAAAACTGTAGCCAACTTCAGCCATTAAAACTGACCAAAAAGGAAAAAAAATGAAGGGCCGAATCAGTCATCAAAAAAAAAAATCTGCGGTAGAGGGCGTAACGATCGTATCCAGGTGGTTGTCGCTGATGATAAGAATGGATGCTGTGGTTTGGTGTGTGGGTGACTCTAATGTGGCTATACATGAAAAGTACCGCTGGCTTAACAAGTCTTTCGTTTCACATGTTGCATGGCTTTTTGCTGGGTGTTGGGATTAAGTTGGGAATGGTGGTTTATCGGAGGGGTAAGGGTATGGTTTGGTTGGGGATCTGGGCTTGTTGACAAACAATAGTGTTGATAGTTTGTGTTTTACGAGACAATTTTTATAAAATAGTATGCGTAGTGTATATCTGTGTTTGTGTAAGCGTCTAAGTGCGTTTGTGTATTTATCAATGTGCAGCTAAGAAAATTAATACATACAGCTCTTGGAGTTTTAAAAAGGCGTCTTTTAAAATGGAGCTATTGGGTCAATTCATAATGCAGTAAGAAAAAAAAAAAAGAAAATGTGTATTCGACATAGTTTTTTAAGGTAAAAAAAAACTTAATGACGTAAATGTAGTTTCTATACTATTACTGTAAGTATCAGAACATTTAGTTTTGGCATAATGTGACTTTCACAAACAGCTGTAAAAATTACAAGTATTTGTTAACATCTGGTATGGTTTAACTTGACGATTTGGGTTTGATTTAGAGTTTGGGTGACGCCCCAAAGGAGGTGTGAGGACAGATTAAAATATCATTTTGTCGGGGGTTGGCTAGCGGGAAGTGTTATGTCAAGTTTGAAAAAAAAAATGGCAGATGTGTTTCCTCCATTTTTTTTAGCCGTCTGTAATGTTGGGTTTTTGTGATGTTGTATTTTGGTCATTTGTTGGATGTTTGAGATTAAATATTAGCCGTCTATAGCAGTTTGGACGCTTTTTTGTGTTGTCTATTTAATGTGTGATGTTGTTTTTTGTTTGGTCGGCGGTTGGGCGGATGAGGTGTGATGTTGGTTAAAGCGCCGTTACATCTGAGGTTACAAACTAATCGATTCTTTCCACGAGGATTAGAATTAATGCGATAATCTGCTCGCTGAACTCGAGGCAACTCTAGCATATAATTATAACGTTCGCTCTCGTCTCTTCTCGCGCGATCTAGAACCTGCGAGGTTTCCTTGTGTGTTGTCGGACGCGGATGGGGAAGAGGGTGGACAAAGAACAAGATAGATAACCCGTGCTTGGAAAGTCGAGTACAGCCCCGATTACCTCCCTTGTCAATGGTGCCGTGTTTTATACCCGAGGGTCGGGACATCAATCTACATCCCACCCCACACGTCGGCTACCCTTCCCCTCTCACAAACACACACCCTTGTATTATCCACCCCGTGTAATCGGATTACCCGATTTAATCCACCTAGCGGTCATCTTGTGGTCATGTCTTTTTAATGTTAACCCTATCACCCCGGCGTATCTCGTCCTACATCCAGATCATCCAACACCATTTACATTCTAGATCACCAAATACAATGTCCTACATCCAGTGGCGTAGCCAGGATCGTCTCAAGGGGGGGGGGTGTCCAATTTTTACCCGGGGACAAACTTTCAATTTGCACCCCCCCCCCACCCCTCAAACTTTCGATTTGCACCCCCCCTCAAACTTTCGATTTGCACCCCCCCCCCCCCTCAAACTTTCGATTTGCACCCCCCCCTTCAAACTTTCGATTTGCACCCCCCCTTCAAACTTTCGATTTGCACCCCCCCCCCCTCAAACTTTCGAATTGCACCCCCCTCATACTTTTTATATATATACCGAGGGGTCTATGGGGGTTTATGACCCCCCCCCCCAAACCCCCCCCTGCCTACGCCACTGCCTTCATCGAGATCATCCAACTACACCACCAAATACAAGAAGCTTTAAAAAAAAAAGTTTCCCGCCTCATCTGACCGATCAGTCTATGTCAGACAACTCAGACTGACAAATGCGCCGACACAAGGGGGAGCTCCGGTAGACACGGGGGTAGATACAATGTCTGCAGCACAATGTGCGATAACGTGCACAAAACATCCCTTTCTGTGGCCCGGCTGGGCGCAGGTGTGGAGTGTTGCCTCCCCTTTACACGGGCAGATAATTCAACAATCCGTCAGTAACAGGGGCAGGTAAACCAACAATCCGTCCGAAAAAAGGGCAGATAAATCAACAATGCTTCAGTAACACGGGCAGATAAACCAACAATCTGTCGGTAACAGGGGCAGATAAACCAACAGTATATTAATAACGAGGGTAGATAAACTAACAATCCGTCCGCAACAGGGGCAGATAAATCAACAATCCGTCCATAACAGGGGCAGATAAACCAACAATCCGTCCGCAACAGGGGTAGATAAATCAACAAACCATCGTTTCATTTTATCACAATGGACTTACATTTTGTACACAATGACATACATAGGTTACCTTAGGACAACATTTCAAAAATCTTTTCCAGATATCTTTAACACAACGTTTCCGACAGACATTTTTTTTCACAATTTTTAATTCAGATTTCTTTTACAACAGCTATTTTTTACCACATACATGTTTTTACCGCAGATTTATAACTAAAGATTAATTTCTTACACAGACTCTCTTACCACAGACTTTCTAACGACAGACTTTTGTTTTTGTCTTCCACAGACGGATGTTCCCTACGGTACGAGTGTCTTTCACCGACCTTGACCCCACTGCCCGCTACTGTGTCCTGATGGACATCGTGGCCGTGGACAGCAAGCGTTACAGATACGCCTACCACAGGTAAGTCTGTTAGGCTACGTCACAAGGCCCTCTCCTGTATCAGCATCAGCATTACTTCTAGAATAGTCTGTGTTGAACACTAGTGGAGACTAACGCGAGTAAAGAGTCGGGGGCGATTATTATTATTGATATAGATGTTGACATGTTTTTTTAGATCTTTCCACCAAAGTGGCATTACATTTTTTTTTAAACCAAAGCCTGAAAATAGTTCAGAAATAATTTTAAAAAAAAAATAGAATCAATGTTACAAAAGATGCAAATTCAGAATATATTTTTTTTTAATTTGAAGGCTACATTTCTGTTTATTTTAAGTTTAAGTTATGACCTGCAGTTTCGCTTTCGTAAGACAAACATTAATTGATTCTACACTTCATAAAAAAAAAATAGTGATTTTAACTCAAAACTTTGCCGATACGGTTTTAAAATAAAATAAAATTTAAACCACATGACCTAGTTTAGCCATGATTTTTATAATTTTGTGTGATAAAATGTAAACAACCAAATTGTTTATGCTGTTTTAAAAAAAAATGTGTTTAGTTACCAAAAAATGCTAAAGCATCAAATATATTCCATCTTAAATAAATTTAATAAAAATCAAACAATTAGGGTTTTATAACCATATTTATTTTAATAAAATCGCACCAGATTTAAACAAAAATATTGTAGGCCCTATATATAATTTCGAGCCTATTCACAGCCGCCTATTTATTTTAAAATTATTTCCCCCCTATCTAGATCTTCATGGCTAGTAGCTGGTAAGGCCGACCCACCTCTCCCCGCCCGTCTGCACCTCCACCCAGATAGCCCCTTCACGGGTGAGCACCTCATGAAGCAGACGGTCAGCTTCGAGAAGGTCAAGCTGACCAACAACATGCTGGACAAGAACGGACACGTAAGTCACAAAAAAACCTGTTCGCCTATTCATCCACATCTAATGCACATTTCAACGTAACCCTACATATTTATCTTTACACGCACGTTATATTAAAACCCCATATGTCCATATGCTATCCACACACATCACAGTATACCACAACTTATCCTTGTCTATCCACAGATTATCCTAAACTCCATGCACTTATCCACATCTATCCACAGATTATCCTAAACTCCATGCACAAGTACCAGCCTCGGGTGCACCTCGTGCTGAAAACGGAAACCACGAAATTGCCGATCACCTCCCTTGACGGACATGACGTCACGACCTTCGTGTTCCCGGAAACCGTGTTCATAGCCGTGACGGCGTACCAGAACCAACTGGTGAGTATCAGTCAGAGTGAGCACACAACAATATGGCGTCTAGCGAGGTACTCACGCCGACAATATGGGTTCCAAATAGCATACCTGGAATACACGTGATCAGATTTATCGAACTACCATGATATGTCTAGAAGCAAATAGTCTATTAAAGAAAAAAATATTTCGGCATTAGGGACACGCCAAAAAAAAAAAAAAGAAATGCATGTATTATTTTCCAATCACGAGTCATTTACCAATCTTAGCTGAGTAGACTCACGACCCGAACTCAGGCTAAACGGATGAGGTCAGATTTTGACTCGATATAATTTACTAAGTCAAGTAAATCAGCAATCTTCAAGTCTCCGGATATTGCCGTACATTCTCCATGTGGACACAGTTCTACTGCAGTCGCTTGGTCAAGTGTGTCCATGATTTAAGGCAACTAAAATAGTACCTTAAGAAAATAGTACCTTAAGAAAATAGTACCTTAAGAAAAAAGTACCTTAAGAAAATAGTACTTTAATAAAATAGTACCTTAAGAAAATAGTACCTTAAGAAAATAGTACTTTAATAAAATAGTACCTTCAGAAAATAGTACCTTCAGAAAGTAGTACTTTAATAAAATAGTACTTTAAGATAAAAAATAAATTTAAAAACTCTAAGGAAACTAAAATAATGTTTATATTCATTAATATGATCGCAATAACTACTTTTGGCCCTAGTACAGAAATATAGAAGAAAATGAAAAAAAAAAACAACAATAAACTTATTTGAGCTACTAATTTTCAAAAGTTGCACTAAAAGGGTTTAGATATTGCAGTTTGAACATGGCATTTCTCATGAAAAGACCATACTGATACATCCGTCTAAATACTTGTCATTGCCAACATTCTTTGTATTGTTTCTATTTGACCAGTTCTGAGACTATCAAGAAGTTAAAAAAAAAAAAATCACCACCACCACCAATCTCCTTGACCGCTGATTAAAAATGGTTGACCAGTTCTGAAACATTTCGCGGAAGTTTAAAAAAAAAAAAAAATCCCACTACCACTATCACCACCACCAATCTCTACCACCACCACCAACAACCTCAACCACCAACCACAATCACCAACAACCTTCACCACCACCAACACCAATACCAACATACTCCACGACCACCAACTCTGCCACCAACCTCCTCCACCACCACCAATACCAACAACCTCCACCACCACCACCAATACCAACAACCTCCACCACCAACCACAAACACCAACAACCTTCACCACCACCAACACCAATACCAACATCCTCCACGACCACCACCTCCGCCACCAACCTCCTCCTCCACCACCACCAATACCAACAACCTCCACCACCACCACCAATACCAACAACCTCCACCACCAATACCAACAACCTCCACCACCACCACCTTCACCACATCCTCCACCACCAACCTCCACCACCACCAACCTCTACCACAAACCTCCATGACCGCTGATGAATATGTTTCCTCCAGTACCCCCATTTCCCACGATGCTTCTGTCACCTGCCCATCTCCCATATCGCGATCACCTTTACCAGACAATTTCTCCCGGCTTTCTCCCCTCCCCGGGAGTGAGCGGCCTATCGGGCTAACACGTCTTCGCGTCCCCCGGGCTGTACGCGGCAATCAGGATATGACATTTTCCACAAACACCGGTTATCGGACTTGGACATTTTCAACACAGATTTGTCTGTCCCTGGCATTTACTAACCGTTGTGGATTGTTCAAGATGTGAGTTGGGGGAGGGGGGGGGGGGGTAACTAGCGAAAACAGACTAGTGTTATATATAGAGAGCAGACACAACGAATACCAATTTTTTTTTCACATTTCGAAAAGTTCTATATACAAACTATATTCTTCTATTGCTAAAAAAATAACTGTTATCTTAACAGCTTAAATCGACCATGGGATACATAAAAATAATTTGAATTAAGCACATGATTCGAATGGGATATCGTTGTTTTTTTATTTTGCTGACCTTTGAACGTTTACGATTCTCAGTATCATTTAAGTATTCTGTGAAAATTAAAATATCGATACAAGTTTTTAACTTAATTTTATAAATATTATTACATAATTATTATTCTAAAAGAAAAAAAATATCAAACTGAACAAATGATTGTACATTTTGTAATGATATAACTATCATTTAATAATTTTCATAATTTTACCCGTTTGTACCTAAGACATGTGCGGCAGATGAAGTAGAGTTCATCTGTTTCAATGACCTAGGCATTTAAGGGGATAGTGTAGACAGCTTAATGCCCAGCCGACTTTAGACTATGCTGCTCCACCAATGATAAATATATTTGACGAAAACAAAAACTGGAAAATATTGTTTGTGGAACAACAAAAAAAAAACAACAACATATTTAACGAACAAAATCCTTCATGTGGTTTTAATATCCCTACCACACGTGTGGTGACGTGAGGTTTCAGGGTGAACGACCACACGTTTTACGAATCTGATCGACTTTCTCAACACCCCAGAGATACGTTGACTTGACCCCGTGGGCCGGGCGTGTACCCCCTCGCGCTTCCTTCGTCACCACACATCCTCACTTTACTAATGCCCATCTCAGATTAACGCACCTCAAAGGATTATCACACTCCACTGTTCGCTCTAGGCTGCCTGGTCGTACGACATCGCAATAGTAGAAAATATGTCGCGTAGTTATTTTTAGTAAAATACAAATAGGCCTATATATATATATATATATATATATATATATATATATATATATATATATATATGTATATGTATATGTATATGTATATATATATATATATATGTATATATATATATATATGTATATATATATATATATGTATATATATATATATATGTATATATATGTATATATATATATATATATATATATATATATATATATATATATATATATATATATATATATATATATATATATATATATATATATATGTATGTGTGTTGAGACACACCTGCTCTCCATTACCCCCCCCCCCCCCCCCCCCAAAAAAAAAACATACATGCATGGCCACCTCAGACAAAACTACCTTAAACACGACAGTACCAACGACAACACCCTCTCCCTATCCTCACCCACCGCCTCGCGACCAACACACCATGCTCCCCCCTCCACCCCACACCAGACACCCGTCAACTATACTCCCACCTACACACAATAACCCCCCCCCCCCCCCCCCCCACGTCATTAGCACGACAGAACCTGCTAACCATATGCCCGGTGTCGCGTTCCCCACCCCCCGATCACCTTACCCACTAAACCGGTCCCTCATAACCCGAGCAAAACGGCGCTCATAACCTTACGGCCCCTTCTCAACTAATCCGACCGCCATTCTTCTCCGCCAGGGGTCGCTGGGCGACTCCTGGAACCTCTGTCAGTCAGAGTCAACCGGCCGTGAATAATACCCGGATGTTGAACCTTCCTCGGGTATACGATCTCCGCCACCTTGCTGTACCTGGTCATGTGTCACGGCTGGATTGTTTCCCCTTTAATGTTGAGGTTTAAGCTATAATTTTAGTGAAGTTAGAAAAACATAGAGGAGAATGGAATAAAGCAGATGATTTATAAATATATGACTGAGAGAAATGTGAAGACCTAATAGCCACATATTAACCTCCATACTACATCTAAACCCAGCCGTGTATACGATCACAATCTAACACTGTTGTAGCATTTATCTCGTAGTTATCTCGTATAACATCAGATTCGCTGTTCTACTTCACCTCTTGTCATTATCACTTTCTCAACCACCATTACAATGGCTATTTACTATCTCCATTTAAAATTCATATTTACAACAACACCAATCTACCACAACACAACCCGTTTATCCTACCACACCACCCTTTTAAAACCCTTCATCTACAGCACACCACCCGTCTACCACCAACACCACCCATCTAACACCCACACCACCTCTCACACTCCTCGCCCTCCCACCAACCACACAACAACCCAAACACCAAGTCACAGGTTCAAATCCCAAAAAGAAAACCACCAACTCCTAGCTACCTCCCTCGCCCACCCACACCACCACCCATCTTCCAACCATACCACCTCTCACACTACTTACCATACATCCATCTAAACACCAAGTCACAGGTTCAAATCCCCCCCCCCCCCCAAAAAAAAAACTCCTAGCTCCCTCACTCCCCTACCCACCCCACCACCCATCTTCCACCTCCGACTTCCCACGCCCCTCCCCGACCATAACTCCCCAGCAAGTTGAAGTCAGCTTTAGTATCATCCCCACAGATAGCCCGGCACCATTTTCTTGCCGCCCCACCTTTTATTCGCCCGCCTGGCGCTATAAAACTCAGGACATCACAAGCAGGGGCGATAACCCCACGCAGCATCATTCAACATCCCGTTAGGATCCAGCGAACACGGTGTGACGGTGCTCGCCCTTTAATTACAAGGTTGCTCGGAGTAAATACACAGTTAAGGGCCCTGTTTTTAAGGGACCGTTACCGCCACAAACATCCCCCCCCCCCACTCCTTTAAACCTCACAACCATTTTTCCCATTCTGTTTGAGAGTATAATTGCCCGGTACTTAACATAGTACAAGCTCGTGACAATGTAGGCGGTGTCACGTGATCTGAATGAGTTAAAACAAACACCTTGAGCACTTCAGTGGAGCATGGGTGACGTCATGCTCAGACAGTGTGAGAATCTTGGAGAATAGGCTAGATGAATAGGCATGACAATTACTTTATCAATGGCCTTTAAAAAATACGCTAAACAGTCCTTTCGTAGTATAGCATCAGTGTTTCTTCCAGACTTTTTTCTCCGGGGGGGGGGGGGGGGGCGGTCTACATTTTCCAGGGGATCGGACACTAGTAAAAGTATATGTTTAATATATAAATTCCATCTCGTTCATAATTTTACCCGTTTGTACCTAAAACATGTGAGGCAGATGAAGTTTCTTCAGGGGTAGAGCCCCCCCCCCCCCTCCGAAAAGATGCCTGGACGAAACTCTGTACAGCACTAATTACTCTAAATTACAACATAAATAACAACAAAAGATCTTCATGATAAAGCTTCTTAAATAATCCACAACTTTTTATATTGATAAAATATTTCACACCCTCTCTTCTCTCCCTCCCCCCCCCCCCCCCCCACACACACATTTTTATTTTAATAATAATCACTGTAATTGCAGATATTTTCGACTTAGAACAAAACAAAACCTAGACTAAAAAAATGTAAAAGAAGTATTCTATAACTATTCAAAACATAACGATTCAGTCTCAGATAGTCATAAAAAAAAGCTAATTTAAATCTATCAAATGTGTTGTGATTTATGTAAGTGTCACGTAATGTCTCACCTATCACCACTAATGTCACCTCATCTCCTCACCAGATCACCAAACTGAAGATCGACAGCAACCCGTTCGCTAAAGGGTTCCGTGACTCCAGTCGACTCACGGAGTTTGACAGGTAAGAATCTGCTTCTCAGGTATTTACTATTTCTTAGAATGAACACCCCCCCCCCCTCCCTGTTACTCATACAGCGTGTTTTAAAATACAAGTTGTGTTAGCTAAGATCTCTCCGCGCAGGTCTGTCTGTCTATACAACGCTCCAAACACACTACCCATCTACAAACCTGCAACCAAAACCCCCGTCTACCACCCACGTGATCAATCAAAGACATACACCACCAACCCCAACATCCACCCTACACATCTCCATCAAAACTACCACTCCACATCTTCCGCAACACAATCCAACATCGACCCACACCACCCATCTACCTCCCACACCACCCATCTACCTCCCACACCACCCATCTACCTCCCACACCACCCATCTACCTCCCACACCACCCATCTACCTCCCACACCACCCATCTACCTCCCACACCACCCATCTACCTCCCACACCACCCATCTATCTCCCACACCACCCATCTACCTCCCACACTAGAAATTTTAAAATTAAAATCTCCGATATTAAGAATGCTAATAGATTGCTCTAGAAATGTATTAAGTGCATATCACATCAACTTCGGACTAATCCCATCCGGTTAAGAAACGTGATTTCAAAATTTCAGTCTACTTTCTATTTTATTGTATAATAACCAATCTATTTTGACGTAATCGCGAGGTTGGAGATTCTTTGTAAAGTATTTTGTTTGGTTCGTGAGTATTTACCATGTAACTTATTTTACAATTTTAAAAAAGTAATTTATAATCAAATCTTTAAAAAAATACGCCTTATTACATTGCAGTGTTGTCGATATGTAAAATCGTTAACTAAAAAAACGTAAATGAAACTACAATTTTTTTAAGTATCACCATATAGAGTATTCAGACCCCCCTCCCCCCTCCCCTAACACACACACAGCCTCTAGCTCGTTGCTGCTTTAAAAAAAAAAGCGTTGACGCCTTAAGGAGGTTTAAAATCCAATGAATACACTTAGACGATCCTGGCAGTTTGTTTGCAGATCACGTGATGTGAGACGTAGACATGCGCAGACGTGCTTGCATAGTGTGACATGCCACTGTGGCATCAGACAGAGCCCGTGGCGCCCTCCTAAATACAAACTTTGTCTCAGCAACAATTTCAATTATCGTGGCAAACGGTTGTAGATTGACATATTAAAAAAAAAGATTTGAAAAAATGTGATGAAGAATTTAGATTCTAGAAGTTCAACTAGATTTTCCCAACCTTTATGTGTCTCTCGTTTTTTTAGACCTGCCGAACTGTGTTGTTCGACTTTTGAGATCCAATGTGTGTGTCTTTGGTGTTTTAAGACCCGCTGACCTGTGTCTTTGGTGTTTTAAGACCCGCTGACCTGTGTCTTTAGCCTATTGAGACCTGTTGACCTGTGTCTTCAGGCTTTCAAGATCAACTGCCCTGTCTTCAGTGAGACCCTTTGTCTTTATCCCTTTGAGACCCACTGACCTGTGTCTCTAGCTTTTTGAGACCCACTGCCCTGTGTTTTAAGTGTTTTGAGACCCACCGGCCCCAACCCATGACCCTTTTGAGAGCAAACAGCGCATGTCTAAAACCGACACCTGAGCTAGCCCGCCTTGCGCTACGTAATCTACTTATCTCGCATTCTTCCTATATCTCCAGCTCCCTGAGACGCCCGTCGCTTACGGCTAATTCCGGCCATTCCTGCCGGTTATCCAGAAGACATGCAACTCTGCAGAACTCTTAAAGCTTGAACTCATTCACAAAAAGCATCTTTCGTCTCTTGAACACACACACACACACACACACTAACACACATACACACACACATACACACACACACACACACACACACGCACACAATAAAATAAAAATAGAAATAAACGTCTTCGTCTTGTAAGTCTCCCACCTTGGAGATTTCCGCCTCGGAAGTATTTCCGCCTCGGAACTTTTTCGCCTGGACAGTTTCGCATGGGCATTTTCCGCCATTTAAGTGTCAGACTCTGAAATTTCCGCTTTTGAAGGTGCTGCCTCATAAAGTCTCCGGTTTGTTGAGTTTCCGATTATTCCTAACTCTCCGCATCGTAACTCTTCGCCTCGGAAATCTCCGCCTTCAACCGTTTCCTCAATCGAACTCCCCACCAGTATCTCCGTCTAACGACACCCCCCTCGCTTTTCCGCGTAGCAGGATTGTATTCCGGCGATCTGATCGTCTGCAAGTTTTGATAACAGCCGCGATGCGCGCCGCCATGTTTGTTGGTGAGTAAACGGCCCCTGGGATGTGTGTTTACGGTGTCAGCTCACACCGGCTTTCACGCGCCCCGTCTCTTGCGCACCCGGCCATGTCATCGCACCCTCCCCGCACAACCCTACCCGCATTCCGCCGCGCCGCCGTAGAAATATAAATAAATCGGAGACAGGCGCCATGTTATACCCCCCCCCCTTACATTACGTATACAGATATTACATCAGATGAAAATGTCCACCAGACAGAGGCGGATCTCAAAGTTTACAACCAAACAAAATTTGTCTCTAAAGGGAGGAAAGTTAGTGACTGACGTGTATTTTGTGTGCGCGGTGTTCTAAAAGTCTTATACAAGAATTAGAGGGAACTATGCTATAAAAAAACCTTTAGAAATGTGAATAGTTTATAAAAAAATATTTATTTATTACCGGTGTAATAGTAAAAACATTCAAAACAATGTTTCAACAAAAGGAACTGTTCACATTAAGTAAGAATACTTCTAAGTTGTCTCTATTAAAAACAAGTGACCCAACCTTATTTCTAAGTTGAGAAAGGTATGCAACGTGTAGGCCTACTTTGTCTGCGCGGTGTTCTCAAAGTCTTACATGATAAAACGGAATGACTGCTAAGAGAGATCATTGCATAAGACCGATTTTACATGAAATTTCGACCACGGAAGTCTGTTAGTACTCGCACACAAAAAAAACAATCATATTTTCTACACATATTTATTTTATCAACTTATCCCTTGGTCCTTGTTTTATTTCTACTTATTTTTTTTATAATAATTTATTATACGTCTTTGTTTTCTTTTTTCTACTTTAATTGTTTAACAACTTCTTTTACGTCCGCGTTGTTTCTGTCTCCACAGGGAAACCATGGAGTCCCTGCTCCACAACCACTCGTACGCCAGGTCTCCGCTGAGGGCGTTCTCAGAGGCGGAGTTTGAGGAGGCCATCAAGAATAGGGACAGTAAAGGTAATTAGTTAGTAATTAATTATTTTACTAATTCTTCGAGGTTTTACTTATTTTGGGAGCAGGTTGAGTTTCAAAATGCACCCCCTCCCCCCACCAGCAAACCTCAGGATACTGGTGAAAAGAAGAACATTATAATTGTTAAGTGGTTTATGTATGGTTGCAAATAGTGCGATATCAACTTAATATTTGCTGATGACTAACAGTCAGCCTTAGAGTGAACCAGATATTAAGATCTCTCATTGCCATGGGATGCTTCTAGGGAGTGGTAAAGAGGGCTAGGGTACACACCTACCCCCGCAGCCATTTAGATGGTATTATATAAGTTTTTCTATTTTAATATGGTATGTTTGTTTATCTAAATGTAGTATTGGGAAGTACATGAAGGCCTAGCGATCCCCCCTCCCCAACCTAAAAATATTTTTATATTTCGAGCCCCCAGTAATATCCAAGCTCATATCCGCCTCTACCCTTCAAGTTACTGTAGTGCCATGCCGGCAATTATTCAGTATTTTTTTTTAAAGTTAATTTTAACAAATATCTATATTTCATGAGTAGGCCTAGTCTCTAGAATCAACAAATCCACAATAGAAAATGTTTCTAAGTGCGCATGTTTTTGTTTTTTTTCCACAGACCACGCAGCCGCCCTGAGCCTACTCTACAGCTGGCGCATGCAATCCGCGGCCCTCTTGCCCGGCCAGCCGCCAGTGCTGACCCCGGCGCCGTACGCCATGTACGGCAACTTCCTGTCCCACGCCTACCGAGGGATGGACTCGGCGTCCAGCGCGGCGGACATGCGCAGTGGCGCGTCCATGATGAACGACGTCTTGCTGCGCAGCTCCTTCTACAAGCAGTCCGTGACGTCATCCCTGGCGGCCGCCTATCAGCGTGGGCTGTATCGATACCACCCGTACATCGCGCCGGATCGAGTAAGGTCGCCCGATACTTAAAATTTGAAAACAAAAGGAAGTCATGGAATGAACAATGTTAAAAACCAAAAAGATCTACACTCAGACGGTGTTCGTATGACCCCCCAGCCCAAGCAGACTTACAGCCAAAAACAAAATGGCGGGCACAAACACGGGTTATCTTTTCCTCTGTGATCGCACTTCCGCTTTCGTTTTTATTTTTGTTTGAAAATTTTTCTCTCTATAACCTGCACAAATTTATCTTTTACGTCACAGTGACACACTGTCAGTCTAGTCCAGAGACCTGTGTCCATCTTGACCATTTTCTAAGCTCATCTTGTCAACAATCACACACGATTTTCCACACTATATTTTGCTATTGACTAATGCACTGTTTTCATTGTACCTTTGATAAATATGAAAAAAAAAAAAACACCAATAACTCGTCACCTAAAATTGTGTGTAGTGATTGTCCACTAACTCTACCTGATGATCACTACTAAAACTTTGTCCTAAAAATTCGGTAATAATCCAAAAGAAAATATCCACAAAGTCGATGACGTAAAAGTGACAATTTATCAACTGACTCACCAATGGGGTCAAGTATTTGAAAATAAAATAGACTCGTGTTTTAGTCAGAAGACTTACAAACTGTATATTTACTTCCGGTCAACATGACATTAGTGAGGATCATTTCCTAGTTGAAGAGGGGTACATTGTATTTACATGTATAATGATGGACGAGGGCATGTATAGAACAGTGTCGTGCTACGTGCAGACGACTGTGCTGCCATCTACGTTTTTGTCGAACATCTTATACCAGAAAGATTAGGACGATTTTCTTTGTAGAATGGAAACGCTGTGGTGTGTGGTTAAAGGAGAGCACTTGTGGTTGTGAGTGAAAATAAAGGTCAAGATGAAGTAAAAACCAATGTTTGGCTATTGCAGTACTCACCAGTGTGGGTGTTTAGTTCAGACTGTCAAATGCTGTCAGATCATGTCAGATGCTGTCAGGTCATGTCAGATGCTGTCATGTACTAATCCCAAGTGTGGTGGTCACACAGGTATCTTCTATAAAGCCAGGTAACCGGACTTTGGCTACTCCGAGTGTCTGTCTGGCTCTTACTAGTGGGGTGCTGCCATCCTTGAGCCGGCATTACCCGTATTTCGAAAGTGTCATGTACTACTAGGTACTGTGAGAAAGTGGCATGTGCTATTAGACACTGTCATACCGACAGATACTACCTGACACCGACAGATACTGCCAGAGACTGTCAACTACTGTTCATCTGACCAGGCTGTGACTCTAGTCCACTGACCCAGTGAATTGATGAGTGACAAGACTAGTCCACTATAGTAACTATCACTGAAATTATTTTGGTTATGTACATTACGATTTGCTTGACGTAATTATTTTGTTTGTACATTTACCATGTGTTTGACATTCTTTATCATGTATACTTTACCTTGTGTTTCACATGTTTTATGTGCACTAACGTTTATATGACATAAGTTTTATATACACTAAAGTGTATATGAAATGTTTTATGTGCACTAGCGTGCATTTGACATATGTTTTATGTACACTAAAGTGTATAGGACATGATGTATGTACACGAACGTGTATATGACATGTTTGATGTACACTAACGTGTACATGACATATCTTTTATGTGCACTGAAGTATTTTTGACTCAAATCTCTATTGTACATTCAGGTATCTGATCTATAACGCTGAGTTTAAAAAAAAAAATTATTTGTACAGCTGTATACACTAGTTCATGTTCACGTTTAAGTTAATTGCAACACTTCACTACACGATAGTTAAAGTTTTCTCATGATTTACGTATGTTTATGAGCGTGAGTGTGTAGATAGTGAATGTCATTTTAAAATGATGTCATGTTAGGTGGATATCTAGTTTAGCACATCGAGCAAGTTTGCTAGTGTTTAAAGAAAATAACACTACTATATCGAAACAATCTCAGTGGCTCTTGTCCAAAGGGTCAGTTAATCGTCGAAACAGAAAAGGCAGAATTGGCAATTTTTTTTTTAAATTAATATTGACGGTTATTTAAAAATCTCTAAAATTAAAAAAAATATTTTAATTTAAAATTTAAAAATAAAATGAAAAATATATCCATTAATTTTTGTGACTCAACAGCTAATGAGAGTTTTCAACTAATGCTTCAGCTTCCTCAACTCTGCTGTCGTCTTCTTCTATATCTCCAAGCTGCCGTAGGTCCGTAATAAAAAGAAGTTCTGTAATAAACAATATACTGTTTACCTATACAGACGTATGTATTGAAACTGATGATCTATTCGCCAATCTGTAATATTAAAAAAATGGCCCCGTTGAGTTTTGGGATATTGTCTTTCAGTTTGGGGTATATCGACATATGTGCATGCTTTGAAAAGAGGGGGGGGGGGGCTGTATTTGTGAAGTGTTTTATTCTAGTCTGGTTGCCACGCACCATCCAATCCAACTTTTGTAAAAGTTGGATTGGAAATTTTCAGCACTGTTGTGTTCGATTGTTGCACATTGATGTATGATTATGGGTTATGTGAACATAGCACATGAACGCTTATATTTGCGGTCTAAAGAAATTTCTTGAATCAGCACGACTGTAAGCTGGTAAAGGAAATAAATTTATAAGGCTGTTCAACATTATGTAAATATATGAGTCTTTGCGTGCATGACGAGTTGCGAAGTACAGTTGTGAAATATTTTTTTTTATCTTTTTCATTATTTATTTTAGTGGATGTGTACACAATCATGTACATAATTTTGTGCACAATCCTGTACATGAGTATGAGAGACGGTATACCACAAACGACCATAGGTGATGGTCAGTATGCGTGCAGATATGTGATCTAACTCTACTCACCTGTAGTTGATTTTTAGATCAAAATGGTTTTAGAATGTAAATAAAATGTGTGAGCCAATTTAATCTAACTTCATTCATGTGTGGTAGACATTTGGATCAGTATGGTGTTAGAATGTGATGCAACACTATCATCCAATAATAATTCGAATACGTAAATTGTAAATTATGTTTTTTTTTAGTCTAGTATTAGTTAATTGATCAGTGCCAATCAATGAGATGCTGAATGTTTAGTAGAAATCGATAGTTGAACATTGATTGAATAAAATGAGCTAATGTCTTAAACACACTGAACTTGTCTGTTTTAATTTTTACTATATGTATGTATGTTTTAGTATGTGTATGTTTTGGGTCTGGCCCCTGTGATGGCCAAAGTTCATGTTATGGCCAAATATTTTTGAGTTCCACGGTATTGGAAAAAATATTTAAAAATTTTTTCGGCCAAGGTAGTTGGTATGGGAATGGACAATGAAATGGCCATATTTCTGGAGATGGCCAGGGCCAACGCTGAAGAAACCCTAAATTGATTGGCCACCTCGGACAGATGAGGCTCGTTAGCTGAAGATATCCACTCTTCTAGGAGAGACAACTCCAAAATCAAACAACTACTGCCTTGTAGTTTGTTCTTGGTTGGACAAAGGCTATGGAAGCAAATCCAAAAAAGAAAAGCAGGCTGAAATCAGAGTCAATGGCCTTAATGGCGCATAACCAGTTGACACGTATACTTAATTGTGATGGAGGCGTGGTCGAGTCGGCAAAAAGCTCATGGCTGATAAATTCGAAAAAGTCTCGAGTTCAAACCCTCTGGCAGATAAGGCTCGATCCCTTCCAACACTAAACATTAAGAACGAAGAAGAAGAAGAAAGAAGATTGGCCACGGTCCATGCGGTGGCCACTGTTCATGGTGTGGTCACGTCGTTGGCCATCTTCCAAGAAGCGGTCACGGTTCAGCAGGTTCACCAATCAAATGAGCACGTGACACAATACAATAGAAGTGGGGGGGGGGGAGGTAGACAGGAGGGTCTCTCGAGTTCGATTCCGGGTTAAAGTCCGTAAAACGTCTTTGAGTCCACCCAGCTCTGATGAGTACCCTACTCACGTTAAGGAAAAAAAAGGCGACTGGGCATAGTGCTGACCAGTGACTACACTATCCCTTCACATGCCGAGGCTGCAGAAACAGACCGACTCTACTTCAGTTGCACCATGGGCAGTCAGGTTCTAAAAGGGAAACTTTTTTTTTTATACAAAACTACATAAAAAAAAAGAAACAAAAAAAAATTAATTAAAATAAGATATTTAATACTTTAAAATATTTTGTAACAAAAAAGGACAATATCTCATAGTTGCATTAAAAAATCAGATTATGCACGTTGTACATTAGTTTTTTTCCCATTAGAGGAAACGATGACTACCATACACTTGAACAGATCTAAAACACATCTTCTCAGAGTACATTATCCTCCCAAACCCTTTCCCCAAAATTTATAGGTGATCTTGTAGCCAGAGTAGAGGACGTGGGAATTTTCATTTTTAAAAAAATTAAGTCGTTTCAATTTCACAATTTGTAGTCTACCTCATGGATTCATTGAAATACTAGCTTCAATAAAAAAAAATGGTGGTTGTTTTTAAAAATGTTTGAGACACCTTAATCTGGAATTTCTGAGTGAAGACAAGAACTGAAAATATACGAGAATTGTGCATGCAAGGACGAACTAGGGAATTTTTAAAAAAATTCACTTCTTTTAAAATCTTTTCACCGGAATGGAGAGAAAATATTTCGTTTTATTGTATAAGAGTTTATGGATCAATATTAAACCTTCAAAATTAAATACAACAGCGACGACAGCAAAATAATTTTTTATGAAAAAAAAAAACGCAATACATTTTTATGAAACCACGAAGAAAGCCACTATTATCGGCCGAGTTGTCCACTCTTCTGGTCATTCGCTACGGTCAAGATGGATGTCAAGGAAGTAAATTGTGGTTTTAGCGTGTGGCTCGAAGGTGGGGAGGAGGGGGGGGGGGTTGGTGTCTTAAGTCCGTAATAATTTTGAAAAGAAAATGGAAAAATGTAGGTAGGTCCAACCATTCTGAGGCAAGAGTCGTCTTTGGCTCATATGGGTCCCACATTCAGGTTATTGATCTAGAGTTGCATACAT